AATTCAATCTTTGCAGATATGCTAGATGTCTGTGTCATCACCTACCCTGACAACATCCTGATCTACTCTGGAGATGAGTCTTCTCACAAGCAGCACATCTGGGAGGTTCTTTGCCAGCTCCAATTACATGGCCTGTATGCCAAACCAGAGAAATGTGAATTTCACTCAGACTCTGTGGAATATCTGGGCTACCACTTGTCCCCAACTGGCCTTACCATGTCTTCAGAAAAAGTCAAAGCTATCTGCGACTGGCCTGAGCCCCAGAAGGTAAGAGCCAGTTTGGAAACAAAGTCCCACCAAGAATCCAACTAACAAAGACCCAGAAAAAAGTCCCAGGCTTCATCACATAAGCATCCAATATTCAAGTGGAGCTTGAATTTGAGAGGAGATGCTTAGTGGACAGCCAAGATGCCATGCTAGGGGTAGGGGTTATGAGCCTGACATTCCACAGTCCATTGATCTTTCTTCATCCTTCCATCATCATGCACCCCCATAAAACAGCAAAATCACCCTCCAAGGGTAAACCATGTACTTTGCAGTCCCCAGAAGGCAAGCCAGTGTTGTGGTCAGATAATGATGTCAAGGTTCTTCTTAATTTCATTGCTTCCCACAAGGCAACTGCTGGTGATGGTTTAAATTTTAAGGACACATTTTGGAATGCAGCTGCTGAAGCCCTTCCTGAGCCTGTCAAAGGGGGTATCAAGACCCCTAAAGCATGTAAACAGACATGGAAAAGGGTGTGTGGCTTATCAGTCAAATGACAGAATAACCAGCTGATATCATGCAGCTATTGATCATCTCTGCCATGCATCTGGGTTTGCATATTCCCTGAAGGCAGGGGCCAATATTGGTGTTGCAAGCGAGGATACATGGAACAACTATCTGAAGGCATGGGTATGATTCAATTAGCATGGAATTTCCTGTGCTAATGGTGACATCAACAGATCTGCAAGGATGCAGGCCCTTATAAAAACAAGGGTTGGGTGCACTATGAACAGATGAGAGACCTCATGCCCTCCAAGGGCAAGGGCTTGAATCACTTTTCAGCATTGACCATCAACAATTCTGCTGGAGGCCCATCAAATGCTGGGTTAGGTCCTTCCAACAGTGAGAGTGAGAGCACAGGGGGAAGTACACCATCCCAGGACCATGCTCCACCAGCATTGCCATCACTGAACCACACCACATTCCACTCACCTCCCCCTATACCAACAGTTTCCCAATACTCAGCACCCTCCACCATTACTTCAGTTCACAGTGGATCTGTTTTCAATTGGAAATCAGGCCAGTCTGCTGGTGTCCATGGCACACCATCAAGTTCCCCCCCATCTTCCCCATCTTCATTAAATGGTTCATCTATCAGCTCTGTTGAGCCATCCTTCAGCATCTCAGCTCATATGGAGTGCTCTCAAAAGCAGAAGGCAGATGATGATGACAGCCTGTCTGTTGTATCAGGTGCCCTGTCATCCACTGCAGCTTCATCCACCTCATTGGCTTGAAAGCAATGTGGAGTAGATGTGACACTTGAGTGTGTAGGGGAGGATTTAGGAGAATTCTGCAGTTTGATGCATAACCAGATAAACACCATCACCAATGCAATCACAACAATGGCAGGCTCACCTGTGCCTTATTGAACCACATCCCAATCCAAGCCTGACTTCTTGCAAGATCTGGTTCATCCACTGGTCCACAAGGCAACAGAGACACTTCTCACAATAGATGTAGATAAGTTCTCACCAATTGATATTGCCTGGATCATAGACCAGTTCCAGGCAAACACTGCATATGCTAGCTTATACTCATCATTCGCAAGCGATCCTGATCATTTTTCTGCAGCTTGGTGTGCTTGATGGTATGTGCAAAGCAAGCAATGAAATCCTTAGCTGATGTGAAATGAGATTTTAGGACTAGATTATGGATGCAAGTGAGGCCTTCAGGGCATTTCTGGAGCTGGTGAGCATGGTGAGTGATGAGTTCTGTGGTCAAGTAAAATTCCACCTCAAAAGGGGCTAAGAACATTGCTTCAACAAGACCAAAAGGGAGTCTGGGTTTTACACCATGAGCCATATAGAACAGAGAAAACCCAGTTACCTTATGGACCATAACCCTCTCTGCCCACAATACCACAGGGGAAACTTCTGACCACTTCAGTGCCTCCCCACCACAACTCTTTACCAGTGCCTCTCTCACATCAAAATGCTGCTGCTCTACAACTCCATTAGCTGGCAAGTTATAAGGGGAGATGTGTATGTGACAAATTCCAAAGGTCTTGGAGAGCCAGTTGAGGGCAAGAACATATGGTCCCCCATTATCTGTGACAAGGCACCCCAGCAGCACAGGATTTGTTCAAAAATGAATTTCCCAATGGACTTGCCTCTCTCAGCACAAAGCATAGCCCATTCTGGATAGCTAGTGAGGAGCACTGGGCTTGGGTGACATAGTGGAACCTGTTTGACTTCAGCATCAAGAACATGTCCATGTACAGTGGCTCACAAAATTGTCCCAATGTTTGCATGTTTTTCATTAATCATGGTGTAGGCAGTGAACTACCATTATCCAGTCCAAGGTGTTGGTGGATGGATCCAAGCAGCTGGTCATGGCTCTCTAATGAGCCATATTACATAATATTTGGATGAAAACTGGTGACTGAATACCCAAATGAAAATGACAGCTCATTGGGACAATTTTGGAACTTTATGGTATACTAGGGATGCAGTCCATGGGAACACATATAAAATGATATAAGATGCTCACCAATGCTTACATAATGTATTGTGTGGTCTACTGAATGATCTGTCAACAAACAAATAATGCCAAACAGTGATTTTGCACCACCAAGCCTTCTTACTGTAGCACAGCTCAAGAAATCACCATTCTGGCTCATCAGGGACATTCTCTCAGGGCAACCTCAGCAAATACTGGTGTACACTATAGTATAAACAATAGAATATGCTATCAGCACCATTGGTCTCTTCAGAAATCTGCTGGCAGTCATCTCCTGCACTATTTCCCCAACAATGCTCCATGTGTCCTGGAACTAATCAGTACTGTGAGAGCTGAGAATGATGTTGAGGTCCAATCTAGCATTCATCCTATCATAAACAAACCAATCACCCATTAACTAGTGCATTTCTGTGAAGGGGGAACTGGTATGGAAGTCAGGGTGAAGCTAAACCCTCTCTTGCTCCAGGCACCATGGGAGGGATATGCTACTGAGTTAACAAGTTGCACATTCCTGCCCTTCTATCTGGCACTGGATATTTCCTTTAGTCTCATATGACCAAATAACTCCTTCCCAGTGATCCACAGTTCAGCTCAGAGTACAGTCTGGCCAACCCTCCCATGATACTGGGAGTGCCCAAGAGGGTTGTGCATTACCTGAGCCTCCAGGCAGGCTTTTCTTCAGCTGTGATGCACTGGCTAGTGGGTGATTAGTTTGTTTATGATAGGATGAATGCTAGATTGGACCTCAACATCATTCTCAGCTCTCACAGTACTGATTAGTTCCAGGACACATGGAGCATTGTTGGGGAAATAGTGCAGGAGATGACTGCCAGCAGATTTCTGAAGAGACCAATGGTGCTGATAGCATATTCTATTGTTTATACTATAGTGTACACCAGTATTTGCTGAGGTTGCCCTGAGAGAATGTCCCTGATGAGCCAGAATGGTGATTTCTTGAGCTGTGCTACAGTAAGAAGGCTTGGTGGTGCAAAATCACTGTTTGGCATTATTTGTTTGTTGACAGATCATTCAGTAGACCACACAATACATTATGTAAGCATTGGTGAGCATCTTATATCATTTTATATGTGTTCCCATGGACTGCATCCCTAGTATGCCATAAAGTTCCAAAATTGTCCCAATGAGCTGTCATTTTCATTTGGGTATTCAGTCACCAGTTTTCATCCAAATATTATGTAATATGGCTCATTAGAGAGCCATGACCAGCTGCTTGGATCCATCCACCAACACCTTGGACTGGATAATGGTAGTTCACTGCCTACACCATGATTAATGAAAAACATGCAAACATTGGGACAATTTTGTGAGCCACTGTATGCCTTGTAGAATAGGGGCTCAGCAATGGTGATGACTGGTGGAATATGTACACAATCTAAACACACCTTCTGCCATTCCTACCTGTCTCTGTTCCTCTCTACCCCATGATACCCCATTCTGCAGTAGCAACAACCTCCACTCCCCTGCCACTTCCACTGCTACTGTCACTACACCTTCTGCACTGACTGGGGACAGTCAGCATTCAAAGTCCCCTGCAGGGGAGACCCACATACCACTCACTCGATCCAATGCCAAACACAGTTTGTTTCTCCTTATCTGTTTTACCCCAGGTTTTGTCCAGAGACCTCTGTTCCACCCCAGGTTTCATCTGGTGATTCTACTGATAGCTAGTCCTCACTCAAACAACATAAGAACCACTAACAAAAAGTCCAAAACCATCAAGAAAAATAACAAAACACCCAATAAGTATATAACTAAAACACCATCTCTCTTGTTACTTCACTTACTAGTCTCACTGATGCCATCCTTGGCCACTGTATACCACAGATACTCACAACTACCCTGTGCATTTCTTCTTCAAACATGCAATCAGCATGCACCCTTTTCTCATTTTTCCTTGCAATTCTCCTTCTGTCTTCTTACATTTGATACCCAAAGGCCATCCCAGTTGCCCACTAAAACATCCTGTCATTCTCACTTCAAGAAACCATCACATTCTACCATCAACACCATGCTACAAGGGCTCACTGCTGAGAGAAGTTGAAAGATGCACAAAGAAGACAAGTCAGGTGGTACCCCACACACTCTACATTACCATGGCCAAACCAAGCTCAGTTTCCCACAGAGAGTAATCAAGCATTCCATGTCATTTCACATTGCAACCTCATACACAAGGGAGAAAATCAGTATATTGCATGCTCTGCACTCTGAGATGCAGATAGGACAACATAGTGAATCTAAACTAAGGACAATCACTCCTATTCAACCCCTATTTTCTCCAGCACCTCTGCAAGCTGGTCAATGTGAACTTGAAGGCACAGGTATATGTCTTGTGACTCTGCAGCCTCAGCCTGCAACAGGTCTGCTGTGACCTTGCTGTTGAGCCCACCATGCACTGAGGCCTTTCCCTTTGTGTGTGAGTGGCTTTCAACCACTTCAACATTGACATTGTCATCATCATTGGCCACCTTCTTGGATGAGCCAGCCTTAGGAGCCCTCAAGGTCTGCACTACAAGCTGTTGGCCCCAGACCTGCTGAGACAACTGCAGTACTTACCAACCAAAGCACCCACCTGTGCCTTCCTTCCAGCCTTTGTGGATTTCTCACAACCCTGCTTGATGCATGTGCATCTGTGGCATGTCTGCCCTGCAGGTCTGATACATGGGGTCTTCTTTACCACACACCTCATGCAAGGCTCCTTGTGAAGGATGGACCCCAGCAGAACCATGACCTTGGGTGTCTCAGCCTCATCCTTGCTCTCCATGACCATCTGCCAAGACCACTAAGGGCCCAAGTGTCAGCCTCTGCCACACTGTATGAAGAACTCACTTACCTTTTGTACAGGTTGGGACACCTCCACATGTGACATCTTCACTGTTGCAGCTGGCACCTCTGTGCTCACTCCCTGCTTGCCAACCTCCTGCATGGCCTCCTCTCCCATTTGCACATCCTTGTCAACCCCTCCATGCACTGCCATGGCAACCTCCTCTGTGGCCCACCTCTTGTAGGCCTCATCAGCCTCTGCCATGATTGGCCCATCCACTGCATTGATCCTCAAGTTGACCCCCAGTGCCTGACCATGTTCAACAATGGGAAAGCCCTCAGCCTGGCCATGGTCAATGATGTGACCCACAGAAGTGAGGCATGTGCTTACTGTTCTCTTCTCCCACCAGTGCATCCACAACACCTTTTCCTCCCACAGTTCCTCGTCATCCAGGAGGCACCTAGCCTCAGTGACCAAAGCTGTAGAAGCAGTGACAAACTGCTCCCTCAGCATAGCCTTCTCCACTTCAGCCAGTTCAGGGGTAGCCATGTGAATGAGCTGGGAAAGCCTGGGAAGATGATTAGCAGACATAGTACAAGTGTAAGAGGAGTTGATGGGGGGGAAAGAATCAAACCAATGTGAAGGTTTGAGCCACACACTAACAAATATATACTTAGTGGCCATGAGGCACTTATGTCATTGGTCTGGATGCTTCTATGCAGCATTCAACAGTGTTCTTGGCTTCCTTGGCAACACACTCTCTTCACTTCTACACTGCATTCACTGGTGTTCTTGAACCCTCAGCACCACACCTTCTCCTACCATGCAGCATCATTGTTTACATCCTCCACACTACATGGCTGACCAGGGATGGTCAGCATCTAAGTCCCCTGCAGGTGTAAGGAATCTGCATTCCCTAGACACATAAGCCCCTATCATTGACATTCCACAACTATCATTATGTCCCCAGACCACTCACATCCACTCCCATTCATGTGCTACCTTCCTGCCTTCCTTGCTACCTTCCCATGCCCTCACTCCCTCTCATGTACTGCTAATACCTGCAGCTGCTGTGTTCTGATCACTTCCTTTCCTTTGGACTCTTTTCTTTTACCACAGTCTCTGTTCCCTTTATGCTAGTAGTATACTCTTGGCCCCTATTGCAGCCTGTCCTGTGTGCATGCACTGTCATGCAACTTTCTTTTACTTGTACCTTGTCCTACTCTAGGTACAGAATGATACCTCTTGGCAGTTGGAAGGTCACTATGAGTTCTCTTTTCACTTTGTCTACACTGCACACCTTGCAAACTGCTGCACATGAACTACATATACTGCTCACACTACTGTCATCACCAGTACAACACCATGGAACATGCCATGCATGCCATGAAACATTACCACTACAAATCACAGAGTCCCACCTTCTAGTCTCAGCAGTCCAGAATCCCCTGGGATGAGCAATTCATTCCCTTCATTTTATTGTTGCTATCTAAGCCATCTAGCTCATATTATACAGCTACTTGGACTTTCCTTACATTGTACTCTCATTTGACACTGAGATGCAGGCAGTTATTTTGTCCCTAACCAAACCCATGCATCCAAGGAAGACAGCCATTCCTTCTATGCCCAGGGCCATAATCACCAGCTACAAAGCTATCAAATTATTACACCCTAACACATCCTGTTGTTATATCCCCCACAGGAGATTTCTTGTCATATTGCCAAGTTTTCATATAATGCCTGGTTAGCAAGTTGGATGAGCTGCAGCTTTTGTGACAATTGACACTTGTAAGCTGTACAACCTTTGTATTCATGTATGAAATGACAGCAGGGTGTTGTTGGACTTTGATGCCATTTCCTATGATTGTTGCTTGCTATGTTTGAGTTTGTGGTCCAGCTATGGGTGAGCACAGGTCTAAGGCTAGAAGTTATAATTTGTGAGGAAACTCACCCAGTCACCAACCAATTGATCAACTGGCCTAGTCCTTGTCATGTTCTATGTCTTGTTTCTAGTGTTTTGCTCAGCCCAGCCTCAAGCCCCAGGCCAGAGGGAATAGTGCTGTATTCACAGTTGCTAAGTAGAGACAGTCCATACCTATAACCCCTGCCCACATCTGCCCCCTCCCCACTGGCCTTGCAACAGGACTTGCCAGTGGAGATGATCCAGACTAGAAACACATGCAGGACCAACATCTGGCAGGAACTGGTTATTTAGGTTATTATATGCATGCATTGCTCAGCGGTTTGCCAATTTACTAGGAAGTAGGGCATTAAGTGAGAGGGCAGTTGTCACAATGGAGAGAAAATGGTTGGGTCAGCAGAGGGATGGTTAAATGAGAAATGTTCATTATAGCTGCTGAATCACTTCTGCAGGGTTTGAATTGCACTTCAACATGAGTCATAAAGACAAAATAGAATGGCATAGAACATAGGTAAAGTTTGACTCTGGATAGCTGAGTGGCATGGCAAGTATATATATTGATTCAATCTATACAGAACGATTGCATCTTCCCCATATTTACTGGTGTGGCAAGTGTGGGGATTGTCAACATGAAGATTGGTGGCACATCCAATTACAAGGGCAGAGACAACTGCAGATTTTGCAAGCTCCCCCCACAGTGAAGGATTCCAAAGGATCAGCATTGGTGGTCTGAAAATAATATCTTCATTGTTCATATGCATGTCACACCAATGAAAAGTGGAGGGGCTCACAGCAGGCCCAGTAACCACTTGAAAAATATCCCCTCCTATGTCATCTTTGCTAATCCAAATAGAGGTAAGAAAGAGGTTGATTGGCATTGAGGGAATAGTATCTGACACATCTGATTTTCCTTTGCAATACCCACAAGGATGGGGGTTAAAACTTCAACATCTTCACCATGATGCTGAAATGCTGCTGTGAGAAGTTTGGCAACAGTAGCTTGGACACCTGATGTTTGATATGTTCTGACAGCCTGTTCAAGGTTTTCCTGTAAATCACCATTCACTTTGTTGGCCTGCAACAAGAAGTACAAATATTCAAACACAAGTATAGCACCTGCAATTGGGTGTTATGGGTGTCAAATGATGACAAAAGAGCAATTACCAATGCCATATGCTGCAACATATTGCAGTGAAGGTTTTTTTGAGATGGCCAAAGTAGGCATTTGGACAGAAGAGGAGTAATCAGTGATAGTAAGCTATAATGCTGTCAAGTCAGGTGATCTGTTCATAGCAGAAAGAAAGAAAATAAAACAGACCATCTGAGCAATGTGTGATGGGAGCATATCAGGTGACATCAATGAGAAACAGGGCCACAAACCAACTACAAACTTTATCAGTGATCATCATACAAATTGAGAGAAAAATGAATGCACACATTCTACAGCATATATTAGCATGGGAAAGAATCCTGAAAGATTATGACTAACATGCTGATAGATGCAAGTAGAGACATAAGGGTCAAATTGAAATGCCATGTAAACATTGACCTACATCCTGAGATAATCTAAAATATGAATGTGGACTGGATACATCAATTGAGCTCACCATCTATTTATGTAATATGGACAACATTTTCAAAATGCAGGGACCATGGTCAGAATGCTTCCACCACTGGCCACAGCTCCACTCACTTCCTAAGAATGCAAGTCCAAAAGGGTGGGAGTGAACATGGTCAGAATCCTTCCACCACCTGCCATGGCTCCACTCACCAACTATGAATGCAAGTCCAAAATGGTGGGAGTGAACATGGTCAGAATCCTTCCACCACCTGCCATGGCTCCACTCATTCCCTATGAATGCAAGTCCAAAAGGGTGGGAGTGAACACAGTCAAAATCCTTCCACCACCTGCCATGGCTCCACTCACCAACTACAAATGCAAGTCCAAAAGGGTGGGAGTGAACATGGTCAGAATCCTTCCACCACCAGCCATGGCTCCACTCACTCTCTGTGAATGCAAGCCCAAAAGGGTGGGAGTGAACATGGTCAGAATCCTTCCACCACCTGCCATGGCTCCACTCACAGACTATGAATGCAAGTCCAAAAGGGTGGGAGTGAACATGGTCAGAATCCTTCCACCACCTGCCATGGCTCCACTCACTTCCTAAGAATGCAAGTCCAAAAGGGTGGGAGTGAACATGGTCAGAATCCTTCCGCCACCAGCCATGGCTCCACCCACTTCCTATGAATGCAAGTCCAAAATGGTGGGAGTGAACATGGTCAGAATCCTTCCACCACCTGCCATGGCTCCACTCACAGACTATGAATGCAAGTCCAAAAGGGTGGGAGTGAACATGGTCAGAATCCTTCCACCACCTGCCATGGCTCCACTCACAAACTATGAATGCAAGTCCAAAACAGTGGGAATGAACATGGTCAGAATCCTTCCACCACCTGCCATGGCTCCACTCACAAACTATGAATGCAAGTCCAAAAGGGTGGGAGTGAACATGGTCAAAATCCTTCCACCACCTGCCATGGCTCCACTCACTCCCTATGAATGCAAGTCCAAACAGGTGGAAGTGAACATGGTCAGAATCCTTCCACCACCTGCCATGGTTCCACTCACAAGCTATGAATGCAAGTCCAAAAGGGTGGGAGTGAACATGGTCAGAATCCTTCCACCACCAGCCATGGCTCCACTCACTCTCTATGAATGCAAGTCCAAAACAGTGGGAGTGAACATGGTCAGAATCCTTCCACCACCTGCCATGGCTCCACTCACTCTCTATGAATGCAAGTCCAAAACAGTGGGAATGAACATGGTCAGAATCCTTCCACCACCTGCCATGGTTCCACTCACTCTCTATGAATGCAAGTCCAAAAGGGTGCAAGTGAACATGGTCAGAATCCTTCCACCACCAGCCATGGCTCCACTCACAGACTATGAATGCAAGTCCAAAATGGTGGGAATGAACATGGTCAGAATCCTTCCACCACCTGCCATGGCTCCACTCACAGACTATGAATGCAAGTCCAAAAGGGTGGGAGTGAACATGGTCAGAATCCTTCCACCACCAGCCATGGCTCCACTCACAAACTATGAATGCAAGTCCAAAACAGTGGGAGTGAACATGGTCAGAATCCTTCCACCACCTGCCACAGTTCCACTCACTTCCTATGAATGCAAGTCCAAGAGGGTGGGAGTGAACATGGTCAGAATCCTTCCAGAACCTCCAGCACCTGATCCACTCACATGCTATCCACCCAATGCCACAGCCACATTAGTATTTGTTATATCCTCTTTTTTACAATTTTACACACTTCCTGTTGAAAAATCAATATCTCCTCCAATCCACTCACTATCTTCTTACATATGGAAACCATCTTGACAGGTAATATGCAAGACCTGCTGGTGTGACCTTGCCCACCATGCCATGCATGCAGTTCTTCAGTGTCCTTGCACATATTAGTACATTCTTATCCTTCAGCTGTCTCACCCACTTTGTTATTGCAAACTCCATACACAGTCCTAGATTAGATTGCTGTGTTGATATGAGGAGCTGCTGCAGTCCTTCCTCATTTAATGCATTTGCTGTGCATGTCAGTAGGGTTGTACAATCAACACCCTCTTCTTGCATTCCTGCAGTCATTTCCTGTCAATGGTGTGACATTCTCAAGTGATGGTTAGGACACTCACCAGTGAGTGACAGATAGTCATGGGGTGGAAACCTTGACTTATTCAACCAACCCTTGACCTTTATGAGACACTCCATCAACTTCCTTTTTTCTACCTCCAGAGCCCTTTCCATTGCATCATCTTCATTCAAACCATCATCAACAACTTCCATGAAGGCATCCAAGGCCAAGGTATCTGTCTTTGTTAGCAATACAATTACAGGAACTGTGACAAAAAAAGTGAAATTTAACACCATCAATGAGAGTATGGTCAATATACACACCATGCCCTGTATCACACATATCAAAAAACTTCTTTTCTGCAGCTGTGACCATCCTGTGGCTTTCATTCAAAGGAATGCAAAACCTAAATCCATCACAGAAACCATGTTACTTTGCTTAGGGTGTCAGATGCAGTGTTCCTACCATATGGCATGGATTCTCTTGTCCAGCTTCATTGTCTTGGCGCGATCCATCACGAATTCCTTCATCATGTCAAACTCCCCTTCACTTCCGGCCTCGAATCCACGTGAGTCATGGAATACGAAGCGTCGGTTACTCTTGAAAACCAGCTCATCATCAATGTTGTGTTCACCACGCTGGATGCATTCAACCATTCAGCGTACATTGCAGAATATTCATGAAGTCACTTCACCTTTAGTGAACCCTGCACCAAGGTAGCATCCACCTGAATAAAGCCCGACACATCGTTAATCTCGAGCAAATACCAGGAAACACACACACCTTCTCTCCTTCCCCATTAAAAATTTCTGGTTGATCCGTAGTATTACAGACCCTCTGTAGGATCGTCGTTTTACCTGCATTGGCTCTGCCCATGACCAGAATGCGAAAGCGATCGATGCGATCGATGTGCTCTCTAGCTTTCGCTGGATCTAAGCTAATCATAGGGAATATAGTGGTTGACGCTGCTGATCAAGGTTCCCAGACTTGTCCCGTGAGCAGTGAGCAGCAAGTACAACGCTTACCCGCGGCTACTTCTTCAGTGTGTGCAGGAACAGGAGTATCCGTACTCTCTTCCGGAGAACATGGAACGGTGGGTTGCGCCTCGATTAGTGCAGGAGCAAGAGCACCTGTATTGTTTGACGGAGAACCTGGTCAAGTAACTAAGTACGCTTAGGAACCACATAAAGAACACAGTGCAACCACCTTGAATAGAGGCAGGCACGGGAATGTTCGTGTCTCTAGGGCTAGGGCTAGGGCCCAGAGAACGTGCGCGAGTGTTCTCGACTACCGTGTCAGCACGAACGTCCCCAATATTGGCCGAGGGAGAGCCAGAGCCTTCGACAGGAACTTCAGTCAGCACAAGAACGGGATCTATACTGGCTGTGGGCTGAGCAGCTCCAATGGGAGCAGGAACTTGACGATCAACTGGGTCGTCGCTCGGAGAAGGCGGTTGTCGAATACAACACAACGCCTTGAACCATTCAGGAGCCATGAATAATGAAATGTTGAAGTTCTTGGAATGTCGCAGGAGTAATAAGCGTATGGTTCGAGACGAAGATAGACGCGTGGAGAGGGCGTGGAGTTGCGGACTGTTGGTCGATATCAAGGTGGCGGCTTTTTCCGACACGAGCACACGTTCTGATTCAAAAAATAGTTTGTCAAGTCGACACTACTATTACATTCTTCGATCCATACTGCTCGGGTGTCTGTGGTCATGATTGAGTGTATCGTAAGGAAAGATAGAACTGGACATATTAGAGATTGCAAGAGATCATATGTAAGAGTGGTGAACGGCGAAAGAAAAAGAGAGATTAGCATGTAATTTTGGAGCCTGAAACCAGATGTTCGGCAGAATAATGCGTAAGATACCACAATTAGAAGTGTCTAAGGAAATCAAAAGTCAACGGAATGGATGAGGGTAATTTGGATACATCCCGTGTATCCGGTAAGCAAAGTGAATAGGATAGCTAGATAGAATACGAACAGTAAGAAACATCGTGGGGGAAAGATCATACCACGTCGCAAGAGGGATTTACAATCAGGCAATGCCAATCTCGATAAAACTTCTCCACTTCCACGAAGACACGCGCTCGTCTGGATCGGCCTTCAGATCGATGGAACTACGCAGAGGAAACGATGATTCAAGCGTACTCCGTCGTTTGCGTCTGCAAGACATGGCTGTGGAGGCAGGTGAAGCTCCGACAACATTACCTACAAGGTAGGATGCAGCTGGCGCCGAGGTCGACATGGCGGGAAGGGACGAACTGCTTGCCGACGCAGAAGGCCCAACAACGAGCGTCGTCCCGGATAAAAATAACGGTACAGACAGTGCAGGTGAGGGCGAGAATCCTTTCCGGATACGCTGATTATCGTCTGGTCCAGGCCGTACTTTGTTGCTCACGAAGAGACACGAAGAATTGGAAGGGCTCTGCCCTTCCTCAGCTCCTTCATCCTCGACGTCCCCCATCAAGCCTATGTCCTCAACACAAATGGTCGGCGCGAGCCGTATCTCCTCTCCCCGAGGGCGAGTAACAATTATATCCCGTCGGTTGCTCTCACCGTCACCCTCTTCGTCCTCGCCGTCGCTCATACTCATGAAGTTACTCATTCAGCGTCCATCTCCACGCCCATGGCCCCGCACTCCCAATTTTCCCCTACCTTCTAGACAAGCTAACGCATCCATTCTACTCCGCGTTCTGGCTGATGAGATGGTACTTTCTGAGTGCGCAGGTGAAGACGCGCGATGCTGGTGATGAAGCTTATGTGTGTCCGCTCCACTGTCTGAGAACGCCGGTGAACGAGGAGAGAAAGGTGGTGGTGAGAGCAACGATGAATCGTACTCGACAAGAGGGACTGAGTGGGACACGCGGCGATGTGAAGATCGGGGCGGATGAGGTGCTGAGACGAGTACGTTCAGGGGTGACGTATACGAGGATGCAGAGGGTGCAAGCGAAAAATACGGATGCGATGGTTGCACCAGTCAAGAATGTGAAGGGCTCGGAGGTGCTGTCCTCGTTCCCTTCTGCATCGGCAAGGAGGAAGGCGGCTACGACTCTGCATTCGGAGGGTTGTTGGGTAGTAAAGTCATACCTACCGATGAGGACACTGCCGGAGGGTCTGGGAGTGACATCAATGCCACCGGCTTCGGAGAGGGTATATTTCGCAATGACTCTCGCGAAGGTCGCCAGGACACGATCGACACAGCAAGCTTAGGAGGGAGAGGAGGAACATATTTAGGGGTGAATGCGATATGCCTCTCACGTCGGCTGTGCAGGTACGTCAGCAGGAGTATGCAATGTGGATCAAGAAGACACACGAATCGCTGTTCAGTTCTGAGGTACAAAATGTCCAACTGGTCGATCGCGACAACATGGAAGTTTTCCGCTTGTGAGAGGATAGTGTACCGGATCTTATTGACCCAGGGTCCTTGTACGGTGGTCTTCTAGTTACTGAGACATGGAACCCTTGCCCTGTGGCTGTGCTTATTGTGTTCCCACGCCTGTCACAGAAATATTCTTTTGTTTTGTGTTCCTTTTCCTTGCATCCACGCATTCCGACCCCGATGGCAAAGAAAAAGAGCAAGCAAGTAAGTCAAAACCGACACCGATCAACCCGATAATAAAACATCCTACTTAACGAAATATCCAGGTTCTTCGTCCTTGGTGTTGGTACTGCGAGCGTGAGTTTGAAGATGAAAAAGGTCAGCCTACTCGTCTGGCGTCTGCTGTGTGCCGCTCACTGACGCCTTCCAGTCCTCATGCAACATCAAAAGGCGAAACACTTCAAGTGTGGCATGTGTCCTCGCCGTCTGAATACTGCCGGTGGTCTTGCAGTTCACATTCAGCAAGTGCATAAACTCGAACCAGAAAAGTGCGCAGTCGTGTTCCTATCTATCCTTCCATCTTGCTGATCCGCCTCAGCCTCCCTCGAATTGAGAACGCATTGCCCGGTCGGGACGGCTATGAGGTGGAAATCTTTGGTATGGAAGGTATTCCTGCACCTGACGTCGCAGACTATAAACGCCGCAAGGAAATCGAACTTGGCCTCGCTGCGGGTTCCATTTCCCAACCCCAACCAAAGCGTCCCAAGATCGACAACCGACCTCTTTCGGAGGATGAGCTGCGTGCCCAATTGGAAGCCCACAAGGCACTCATGGGTGCATCGAGCGATGCTCCGGCTGCTGCTCCTGCTCCAGAGGCAACCGCTGCAGTTTACAATGCCGCTCCGACCGCATATGCTGTACCACCTGCTCCTACTCCTGGCATCACCCCTCTAGGTGCCTCGCCCCCTCCTGGGCTTCCCGGCATTTCTCCGCCACCGTTCATGCCCGGTGTTCTCCCTCCAGGACCGTTCCCAGGTGTCCCTCCAATGGCTTCCCCATTCCCCGGCATGCCCGGATTCCCTCCCGGGTATGTCTTGTCATGTGGCTTTTACTGTTGTTCATAGCTAATTCTACTTTCCAGTCCTCCACCCCCTGGTTTCCCTATGCCGCCTCCTGGTCTGCTGCCGCCACCTGGAATGCTTCCCCCAGGTGCACCACCATTCCCCCCTGGGGTTTCCCGTCCGCCTCTTCCGCCGCCCACCTTCGTGCCTGCGAGCTCATCCTCGCCAGTCGCGTCTATGAATGGGACGCCTGCTTCAGCTCCACCTCCAGGGCTTGTGCCTCCCGCAGCCACAGCACCACAGCCACCGGCGGTGTCCCTTCCACCGCCACTTGTACTTCCTAATCCTGCTCTCGAGCAGAAGTATGGACCTTTCAAGAAGAAGACCGACTTGAAATATGCAGATCCTAATTTCTCTCCTGTATGTACTGCGTTTTTCACTCTCACTTCGTCTGTTTTGGCCATGGCTCGCTCACGGGTGCACCCTTTTTTTGTGCTCACAGGAGGAGAAGCGTGGACGCACTGCGAAGTACTACTTTGCCAGCGATGCAACGAATACCACACCATCGCAAGATCAAATGGCCAGTGGCACAGAAGAATTTCGCGGGAAGAAACGTGCACGCGCGGAGGATTTCCTCTGACTGTGTGCGTGCATACATACGCTTACCGACGAAAGTGGAGTGGGAGAGGTGGTGTTTGGTCAATCTTGTTTCGTTGTGATGGGTCACTTTGTGCGGGTCTCCTCGTTATTTTTCGTTTTATCTTTCCAGCTAGGGCCGGTCTGTTGCAACGGGCGGTAATCGTGGGTGTCGGGAACGGTAACGGTATGGGGAAAAAGAGTCGGTCGGTGGAAGTTGGACGATGAATACCAACGACGGTGGAGAAAGACTTATCAGTCCGTCCCATCCACCTACTTCTTCACCACGCGAGCTTCCACACTCATGGTTTCTTTTCCTCTATCATATATTCCACCCGTCTCCCATCCCCTCATGCTGTGCGAGACATCCAACGTACTTTGCGCTGGAAGTTGGTAAAGTGGCGGATGTTCTTGGAGATCGTGGTTCCCGGTGCGGTGCCTGTCTTTGTTTTGTTGTCTTGACCATACTCCCTTCTCCCTTCCCTTTCGTCATCCCCTACACAAACTCTCGCAACCCCCCTCTCATCCTGCACTATCCCCCTGCGGTATCGTAACAATTGTACGAATGGACAGATTGGAAAAAGGTTTGTCTACATGTACGGTCGGTCTTTTTTTCCCGTCCAATCACGCTTCCTACTTCACCTATATGTTTTTCTCTGCTTTTCCACTTTGAAATCGTAAGTTACGTGCAGATGGATGCGAACGAGGTAAAGGTTGGTGTGAATATATTTTTGTCGGTCTATGTATGTGCCCTTGAGCTTGCGTTTGGGTGAGTGGAAGGGGTGTCCGTATGAAAACCCCCTTCTTACGAAAACACCAGCAATCTCTGGCGTTTGGCACATTCAAGCCTCTGTAGTCGCCGTGGCATAAAGATTCAAATGTAAGCGTTAGACAGGGCCGGCCTAGAGGTATCGGGGTTTAGGTTTTTCCCCGCTCACAAGACATTTGTATGTGGCAGTGTGGAGGGAGTGAGTCGTATCTTCTCTGTCAATACATCCGTGCTCATCACAATTACTGGAATAAATAGATCTGAACAACGCGAATACTAGTAAGTGTCAGCACGATTCGGTGAATAGTGACTGCACGTAGACCCCAACTCGGACCTTGGTCAATCCTTCCAGGATTGACTGAAACGTAATCAGTAGTCGTTCTCGTATTTACAAGTGGGTCGGTTGTAGTGGAGAACACTGTATGTATGCATACGTACCGCACAAGTAACCTCTGCTACGGGAGTATGCTATCGTTAGTAGGGCCCAGACTCTACTCGTGGGCCCGGGCCGAGCGGTGTCGATGAGTCACCCACGCCCTTAACGTCACCGCATCGATTCCCAATATAAGGTGACTTGCGGAAATAGCTGCGGACTACGTTTCTGGACGTGTCTCCACTTACGTCCTGCAGCTATCAAATGGTACTGGCATGAGATCTCTCCTCGCGCAGGAGTGCTAGCATACACAGGCTCCCGGAATTCGATACCGCTGCCGGAAGTAGATGAAGGACCAGGTTATATACGCACCAGGCAGGTAGTAGTCATATCTGGAACTCACCACGGTAGGGGTGAGCACACTCAGGACGAATCACAACAACGACGGAACGTTGACAGGCGTGTGGGATTGAACAACCGAGCGTATGCTCTGATGCAAGATGATTGAGAGAGAGAGAGAAAGAGGGAAAAGAAGAGATGCCCTGTACCCCCAGGATCCAAACAGTACAACACAGCAGGAGGGATCCACATGCCCAGACAAGGGCGCGACAGGAGACGTGATCTAGTGTGAAGCGATAGCGTGAGCGCGGGTGGTGCGTGAGTGTGACAAGCGGTAAGTGTACGCTTACAATATCCTACAACTATAGACCAAAAACTTCGCGTATGAACGGGGTGTAGTCGAGGTTTTCAGCTTCTTTGTCCCTATCGCCGAGGACAAGGCATCGAGTGTTGTATTTCTGCGTCCGAGTACAACTCTTGTAGGTGAATGTGAATTCTTCCACGACCATTACTAGCCGAAGTTTCTCTCGCACTGAAGCCAACTTCAGCGCGTTTTCGAAACCGATACGACGCCCTTCTTCTATACTGATCGGTGTGGGTCTTTTGGCTAGCGCCAGAAAAGCGGGGAGTAGCCACTCTCTGATGTTGTACTGCAAAGCGAGCACCACTTTGTCTATGGGGTCGACCAGCTCGGAAGGAATATCTAAATGTTGAATGGCAGCATTACGCAACCCGACGAACTCCCACATCGTAGACAACTTGAGGACCGAGATCCATTGGTCGCAGTCCAAATCCAAACCCCTATTTGTCCCATGTTTTCTGGTGCATGGCACGAACGTCAAGTACGGGTATAAACTACGTGACTGCACACACTGACCTGTACATGAGGGCTCGCAACAAACTCTCAAATTCCTTCTTAGAAATGCCTTGCAGAATCACGGGGCACGTATCACTCTGACCTTCAACTGTCTCGGATTAACCTCGGGGGAGTAGAAACATGTCCCTGAAGACAGTGGACTCGGCCTCTAACGGCTCCCTGGAAATCCGGAACAGCGAATCCTCTACCTAGTAGAGTGGCGCGTTAGAATATGAGAACAGAAGGCAGAAGCGAGACGTACGAGGAAGGTAATTGTGTGAGTATAAAATTCTGAGTGCTTTGAGTAGCTACTAGCTGTAGTTGAATCGGTGCTGTCAAACATGGGAGAAACGACCTGGGTGTTGAACGTGCGAGTCCAGCGAGGCGTACAGACGGTATCGAGTGGTGGTCCACACGTGAACTGAACACCCTAGGATTGTGGCAGAAGATCACCGCACGAGCTTACCATGCGCCGTGCATGGCTAATCGTGTCAGGGAAAAATAGGGGCTTCGCCTGAGGGTCAGCGTCTTGTTCGAAGTCCGAGATCCTACACTCATGCAAACCTTCCCACTGCCTTCTGTGTGACGCTCTAAATAGATCCTTGAAGGTACGACCAGTCGTATGTTAGCACCTGATTTATGGACTGTCCACAATTCCGGATGTCGACCAAGTACACCGCGACATTAGACATGTTTATGTAGACAACAGAAGGTGAACATTCCCCAGCTCGTTACGCTGAATATCAGCGTGTTTCCAGTGACTTACTGTAATCGCAAAATCCAGATCCTCTTCTGTATTACCCCAATGCTTCCACCGTGTTGCTCATCATGTTGAACAGATTTTCTGTGACTTGTCGCTTGTATCTTGGGCGAACAGTAGGCGAGCTTGCAGGCGACTGCAGGTCAGCAGTTGACCGCGAGTTCGCTTACTGCACCGGTACCCATATAATGCACAGAGCTAATGCTCGTAATTCCTGGTGATTACAGTGGTGAACTCCTCGTAAGTGGGACGACGGTCTTGTAATACTTGTCAACGGCAATCTTGATGCTTATTATACACTTGGCTGGATTTTTTTTAGAGATGCTTCGTACTAGTGAGGT